CAGCAAAGCAGTAACCAAGTTTCTCTTCAGTCTGGATCCTGTGGGCAATTCTACTGGATATAGTTCCCTGTGACATATTAGAAGGTTCAGTAGAAGAACATCAGAACATATTACAATCATAAGTGCAAGATCTCCAAAGTAGACATCTGATAGAGTCTTTCTGTGGAGACCCTCTATGAAACAGGCAGGAGATATTTTCCTTTAGTTTATCTCACCTGCATTTAATCTGACCAACAGTAGTTGGAGGATATCCTGTCTGAACTTTTCCTGTAGTAGAGGTGACTGAAGGTAGACTATGTCATGGCTCAGCTGGTGTGCCAGATTTCAAAGGAACAGTGGGGACAGGAAACAGGCCAGGGCTGGGCTAGAACAAATGACCTAATGAAGGAAGGATTAATTTGGTAGTGTATAGTCAGCAACTCAAATTACAGTGGCCAGAAGGTGTGTAGAGGACTGAGATTTGATCCTGACAACAAGGACAGACAAGGAGATTTTTTTGTCAAGAGGAACTTGGCAGCCAAGTCTCTAGGCAGAAATGACACACTGTCAGGAGGATAGCTATGCCTGACATCTGGGGCTTTGCCCATATTGGGGTTGAATCAGAGGCTGAGAATATAAGAATGGAGTCCTACTCCTGGAGAGGCCTTCTTGGCATGAGAAAGGCTGACTCTCAAGGTCATTGCTAAAGTTTTTCCAGGCAAAACATTAAATCTAGTGCTGAAAATGTGAATACAAAACAAAAGAGAGGACTGGTCCTATGAAATGGCAAATATGATAAGAGTTAGAGACACAGGGGCCAGAGAGCCAGGGAGTCACTAGAGCTTGCTAAGGTTAGGGCAACTGAAACTCAGACTTGCTCCTTTTGTAGCCTGCCTAGCTAATGCATGATGAAGGCCTGCTCTGCTCCAGAGTACCAGCCAGAGCACTGGGGGGAACACAGGGGCTCAAACTGTATTTTTGCCACCACTGATTTTCTTGAAGCATTCATATTCTGGCTTCAGGATGAGCTAAGACAATCAGTGACAAGATGGCAGTGGCTCAGAATAGTCCCTCTGTGGGATCTTGCTCTGGCCAGTGGGTGCTGGGTCAGTGTCTCTGTGGGAGGAGAGGAGTGCTAAGAAGATTCCAGGCAGCCAATGTCCTCAGGGATCCAGGGAGTAGAGGGGCAGAAGTTCCAGCAGGTGGAAGAAAGCAAATCACCAATGTGCTGGGGAGAGCTTTTCAGAAACTAAAGAATCTGCAAGCTGTCAAAGCTCCTGAACAAAAGGCACATACAAAGGCCAGCAGCTGAGCCAGAGGGCACCACACTCATACACTGTGCCCCTCACCTCATCAAGGAGTATTTAGGGGACAGGGTTCTCAATCATGCACTGCATTTCACAGTGTGACCAAGTCTATTCAAATGCCACTACCGCATGCATTGATCCTCGAAATGACCCCAAGATGTGGACACAGAAAGCACTGTCATCTCCATGTATACACTGTGGAAAGAAATGCTGGTGGAGGGTGGGCATGCAATTATCATACAAGGCACATTATGGTTTAATATTTTAAACAGCTTCACTACAACAAAACTGTGCTCATTTTATGGTTTGAGGACAGCAGCACTAAGGCAGAGCTGTGAGCCTTCAGGAATGCTGTAATGTAACAGAGCTTTCTGGGCTGCATTCAATTGTCAAAGGGACCCTTTGCACCTCACTGCCTCTCCATAGAAAGTGAGGTGGGGGGCAGCACAGTGACAGTGGATTTGGGACCAATGTCAGTTTTGCGTTTGATCTGAGCAAGGACCTCTTCCTTAATGAAGAGGCACCACAAACTAATTTCCAAGGAGACTGGCTTTGTCTCTTTTCAAATTCATTAGATGATATCTTCCTAAAATCAGAACTTTCCTCTGAGGCTCTAAAAGGCAAAAAGGAGGACAGGTCTTTTACTGGAACTTTTAAAGTCTGGTAGAGCACTTCACGGATACTACATCTGGGAAAAAGCTGCATACAATGCATTCCACAATTAAGTGTCAGGCATATTTTATGATGCATATCAATTTTCAAAATAAGCATGGTAGAGAGGTTTGATTAATTTTTTATTGGATCTATATATGCCTTTTTATTTATTTTTCTGTAAGAAAAACATTTTAAATTCACAAATGTACTGTACAAAAGAAAACATTTCCAATTACTTATCCTTCAAAACCACACTTGGAATGCTAACGCTATTAGTCAGAACATATCATGATATAAAATTAGGTTCCAAGAGTGAAGGATAGCTGCATCTCTTCGAATACCAAGCAGAGTCCCCATCTTCCTGTGAGTCACAGTTCATTCATCTGCTAGCTGAAGTGCCACTACACCACAGCTGCTCTCTATATAAACTTCCCCACACTGCAAACAAGACTCAGCTTCTTACTAGTTAACCTGAAGATGTCCAGGCCATTTTAAAATAAGCAACTACATCTATCAATGTTAACACTATTAGGCAAGAACACTATGTTGGTTCAAGGAATGACAAGACATTTTAGGTAAAACTCTGGAAACAAGCTTTACTTTATAGTTACAAATCCATACTGCAACTTTACTTTTAATTGTATCCTTTAACTTTCTGTCTGCTCAGTTTATTAGTATGGATCCAAGAAGTTCTAGCTTTGCCAATTTCATATTTTTCTTCTGGGCTCACTTTCAACAGGTTGCCTACAATTAAAAACTAAAAGTGAAAGAAACTCATATTTTTACATTCTCTAGCTTAGACTAACAAAAGGTTTTCTTTAAGTAAGAAAACAAACCATCAGTCTTTATAAGGGATGAATAAGAAAGTACACTTGACATAGCTTTTACTCATGCTTATATAATCTTCAGAAGTAAATACTTCTGAAGTGATATTTTACTATTCACCCTCCCTAGGAAGAAAAATAGCGTAATGAATATTCATGGATTTCTCTACACTTAAAGAGTTTCCTAAATACATTTTACTGTGGATTTGATACAAAACTACTTTTATAACCACATCCGTTCCTTCTCTAAGTCTTGACCAATTCCTCCAAGATTTCTCTAAATCTTGACCTTTTCCCAAAATCAGTTTTTTCTGACCATAATTTTCCATGTCAAAAATTTAGAAAGATTTTTTCAAAGTCTCAGCTTCTTTTTCAAATATGAAGTCCATTCATTATCTTTAAAAAAACAACCAGTATTTCATTGCTGCCATTTCCACGTTACATTCAGTTTCATTGCACTTTCCAGCCTACACAAATATTCTCAATCAGATGTGTCATGCAACATTTCCTAAATTATTTATTTAAGCGAAAGTTATATTTCCATATGGAAACCACTTCAAAAATAACCTGTCTTCCAGCTCATCAATCGCTAATTATATAGTAAGCTAATGGAGACAAAGCATGTAAAAAACCCTAAAGACAGGTTATTCAGTGGTAGAAGTGTGTGGTGGGAATCGCATGTCTGTGGCATGTTGAACAGACACTGAAGAGGAAAACATGTTGGGTGACCTTGCCTGCCTACCTCACAATACCAGCTTCTCTGACAAGAGGCTACACCCAACACCTGGTCTGCCCTGCAACATCTGAAACAGAAAGACCTCAGTGGGTTCATTTTTTTTTTTTTAATGCTATCACTGTAATCCTGCCTACATGTACCCATTTGTTCTAAGTTCTGCTTTCGCCTTTCTAAAATACATGTTCTCATGTTGGATTTCTCTTAAACAAACACACAGGCTGTATTTTAAACATAGGAACAGTGGTGAATGGGTCATGCTATATAATCTCACAATATAAGATTATTAGTGCTACACAATTACTAAACACGCTTTAAGAAAAAAATTTTTTTTCAAATAGGAGGTTAGGTTATATCCATCGTGTTGGAACCCATAGGCCAAGATGAGAAAGGGTCTGAGCACAGCACCCAGTGAAACGCCCGGTGCCCTTAACAACAGGATTGCTCTGACAAATACACCCCCTGTCCCCAAGGAGAGCTGCAAACAAGATCAACCCAGAGGGGTGGGGAGAGAGCCTCGCAGACTTGGGACAGGTTCAAGAACACTTGTACACAAATGAAGGTTTATATTCTTGAAATCCGTCCATATGGATTCAATTCGCAAACTCGTTTCCTCTTCCACTTTCAACCTGCGTGCAAAGAGAGTCGCACACACGCACAAGTACGCAGAACAAGATCCCAATTCCACAATCACACCGCCGAGTAGACAAGTGGGTTACGACGCTCCAGTCCACTGTCCCCCACCTAGCTCTCCTCTCTTAAAAACACGCAGAAATTAACCCTGCCACAAGGAGGCTTGTGCCCGGGGAGGGTTCCACACAAGCAGAGATCCGGTGCAGTAGCGGCGGTCGCTGCGCGCGTAGAGCCTCTCGCTGGGTCGGTAAAGACAAGACACGCGCCCGAGCTACGTACCTTTGCCCGTGTTACTCTAAGTGCAAAATGTGCCTCTTCACTCTCTGAAATGATAAGCGAACTAGCGGCCTAGCTGCGACGTTGGCAGATGCTTTCTTAGAAACGGTAGGAAATCAAATGCTTCCACGCGCTCTCCCCAGCACACCACTCGCGCGCGCACAAACACACCGAGCGGAGCTGCTCCTCCTGCTCCGACAGTTCCTGCCTTCGGATCTGCAATTCGAGGGAGAGAAAATCGAAGCGAAAGAGCGCTTGGTAGGGCGAACCCGGCCGTCCTCCGGCCACCGCTCGCTTTACTCCGTTCTTTTCTGTGCACTTAGATGCCACTTCGGCATTCCGCACCCTCAGTCCCAGAGCTCCAACTGGGCACCAGATAGCGATATCAGGTTCAAATCCCCTGCACCTCAAATAGGTAGAACAACCTTTCGCATCCCTCCCCAGTCTTTTCTTTAAACTCTACCAGCAAAAACATTTCCTATCCACGCTGAAAACTTTTTCCTCCTTTTGCGAGGACAGAAGGAAAGAAAACAGGCCAGCTGCTCCTGCCACCCGCCTTGCCCAGCGCCTGGTGGCGGCGGGCGCAATCCTTACCTGGGCAACTGCGCTCCAGGTGGCGTCCCACGCCGCTCCTCAGCGCCTGCCGAAGCGCCCGGGGTGTCCAGGCCAGCGTGCCGTGGTGCCCGCCGCTGGGCGATCAGGGAGCGACTGTCCTTAGGGTCGCGCGTCCCTGCCCTGAGCTGCCCTCCTATTCATCGCCAGTCTCCCCAAAAGCGCTGCGGTTGCTCCCGCAAACCGACCCAGAGCTCCGGAATCCGGATGGCACAGTCTCTCCCCGCAGCAGCGTGTCCCTCGGGTCCGAGAGCGCTCCGCCCGCGGGCAGCTGTGGTCGCTCCTCACATGCCGCCTCCGGGCAGTGGCCACGCCACCTGCCCTGGGGGACCAGCGCCCCGGCTCTCGCACGCCCTGACTCCTTCTGTCCACGCCCTTTTGTTCTCCCTCTGCGCTCTCACTTTCCCCTTTCTTTTTTGTCTCCTTCTTTATCTTGTATCCCTTTTTTCCCCTCCCAAAAGCAGACAGAAGGGGCTCCAAAGGGAAGGAGGGTCTTTTCCTGCCCAGGAACACTTTCTCTGCCTGGTGCTGGCGGTCGGGGCTATAGCTGGTCCGTTCCTCCTCTCCTTCCTCCTCCTGCTCCTCCTCCTCCTCTTCCTCCCCCCCCCGCCCCCTCCTTGAAGCGCTGCCTGTGAGAGCTGGTGTAATGCTCAAGCAGCCTGGTGGAGACCCAAACCTACCCGGCTTCTGAGCATGCCCAGTTATCCCGCGTGAGGAATTGGCTCCGGTTCCCAGCCTGGCAGGGGGCGAGGAAACCCGGCTTGGGAGATCCCGGGTGCTTTCCGGTGGGCTCACTGAAGGCAGGACCCGAAGCTGGAGAGGAGAGCCACTCACACTCAGCATAACCTCACGTGGTCCCAATTTGTGCCCAGAGTGCCTCAAGGACAGATTGTGCTGATTGTTAGTTTCCTGTTCTCTTTTAAATTAGTTTCCTTGGATTGCTAAGAAGGGTTGGAAGGAAGTATACTCCTTAGGCACAACTTACTGATGCATGAACCCCTCGGTAAAGTATATCGCTCGGTTGGAAGGGCTTTCTTCAAAGGACAGTCCGATGCATACACTTTTTGTCATTTAATCAGCCTGTTTATGCAGAACAATGTACCGTAGACGGTTTTGGCTTTTCCTCCCCTAGAAGTTTACTCCCTAGGATAAATAAAAGAAGCATCCGTGAAAAAGACACAGGCACGAGCGGGTGCTTGTGCACGCGCGCGCGAACATACACATGCACACGACACGCACACTCTCTTAATCGGAAAAAAAGAATATTGCTAGCCAGGCTTTGAAAGATAATATATAACTCAGGAGGGGAGAGAGAGAGAGAGAGAGAGAGAGAGAGAGAGAGAGAGAGAGAGCGAGCGCCTACTATATCGTACAGTTAGCTAACTAAATAAGGAGAAAATGGAGAGATACCAAAATTACAGTTACAAATGAGGCTGCCCACAGCGTTCCAGAGGTTTTCATAAAAGCACATAGGAAAAGGCATACATAACAGTGTCACTTTGCAAAGTGGAAGCAAGAAAGGGGCGGAGGAAGGGAGGAAGGGAGGGAGGGGAATGAAGTTAGTACGATATGAGGGGAAACTTTTGACAGTATTAAAAGTGACAAGTGATTTTTAATTTTATGTCTAGCAAGAAGATAAATAGGAAAAGATAAGCTCTTTTTAGAAAAAAAATAATGTTACAACACGTGAGAAACTTAAGTACAAATTCCTTCCAGCTTTAGGTATGAGGATTTTAGGAGAGAAGTCACTAAACATTGCTTAGAGAGAATTGAGGTAATAATAGGAGGAAACACAGTGAGAAATCCTGCGGCTACTTAATTTTATTCGTTCACTCAGGCTTAGGTAAGTTGCATGCAGAGACCGGAATGATAATAATGATATTAATGTACCAGCCGATTTGTTTGGATAACTCTCAGTTGGAAATATAATTGTTGTCCTCACATAGTTCTCTAATTTTCCAAGCAAACATTCACACAGTACAGTCAGCTCTCCATATCTTCGGGTTGCGCATCTTTGGATTCAACCACCTGGTAATTGAAAATATCTTTTAAAAAAATTGCATCTATACTGAGCATATACAGATTTTTTTGTGTCACTATTTCCTAAACAGTACAATATAACAACTATGTGCATGGCATTTACACTGTGTTAGTTATTATAAGTAACCTAGAGATAATTTAAAATATATAGGCTGTATAGGTTATGTGCAAATACAACACCATTTTATATAAAGGTCTTGAGCATCTGAGGATTTAGGTATGTGCAGGGGTTCTGGAACCAATTTAAGACACTGAAGAATGACTTATTGATTGGCTAATTCCAAGAATAACAACTAATGTTCATGAAGTATATACTATGTGAGGGCTCAGAGAGAAGTGCATTACAGACATTTAATCAAATGGTGAAAAGCAGGTTGGAGAGATTTCTCAGTATGCTTACTCATTATCTTATTCTTAAAATATAACTACTTAGTCCTCATTTAATGAGGGAGAAAGGATCTTAAAGGAATGTGTAAATTGCCCAATTTATAACTAGGAAGACAAATTCAAATTTAACGTATGTTTCCCACTATGTAGACTCACTGTTTGCCTCTGATACATGATCACCTTCAATAATATTTGGTAAATCCATATAGACAGATGTAAAAAGTGGGCAAACAGAGATGTTCTACTTTCCAAAAAATAGTCAAACGGTACATCTGTCCAGTAATTAAGTTTGAGATTTACCCTTGGCAATATTCTAGTGAAGATCATGAAATAAATCCTCTGTGAATAGTTAAAAGGGAAAAAGACCTGGAAATTAGCAAAAATATATCAGACTAATTTTCTTTCTTTTTGCAGTCACTAAACTCACATGTATTGTATTTCCTGATTCCAGTCAATCTCCCATTATCTTTATGGACAAGATAATGAAATGAATGTGCACTGAACAAACTACAAACTAACAGTTTTGACAGAGTTGCCCCAAGTTTCCTGATAAGTGGATCCATCCTTGATTAGGGTAAGGTATTTGTTTCTAGTTTGGTGTCCTATTGTTCAGCAGATTTATCACATCATCTTTCAGAGGAAAATATAGAGGGAAACTTATTGGAATTGAGGATGAACCAAACCAGGGTCAGTACTAATTTTAAGATGTCAAGAATACAAAACTCATGAACACTGACCTACACGTGTTAGTTAGTCTGAAATAAAGGAGATAAACTAGACCTGGAACAAATAACAAAATCCTGTATATTAGGGTTATTTATAATAATCAGGATAATTATAAGATTTTTTCAATTATTAAATGAGACTGTGGTTATGCACAACATACTGAAAACTAGTTTACTGGAAACTAACTGTAAAACCTAGACAAACTATGTCACATATTTTAGTTATAAAAAGCAGCCAATGTAAGGCTATTACTTGGGGCAATAAGAGGCACGGGGGGAAACCCCTTTCTAGTGATTTTTTTCTCCCTATGGGAATTTTTCTTTTTTTTAATATATTTTAAATTTATTGGTACATTTTAGGTATACAACATAATGACATTCATAATTAGGAATTTGCACCTTTACATACTCTGTCCTGGTTCTTATTTTTTTCCCCCTTCCCCTGCCCTCCCTTCAACCCCTCCATCCCTCCCTATTTACAGACTTTGTTTCCATTTTTTCATTTTCTCATACTAATTCCATTCCCTTCTTTCCTTTCCTCTACCCCTCCCACTTTCCCTTTCCTTTTGCCCCTTTTCTTACTAAAATGGTTAAGATTCTTTTTTTTTCTTTTCTTTTTTTCTTTTTCTTTTTTTGTTACTGGGGATCGAACTCAGGACCTTGCGCTTGTGAGGCAAGTGGTGGAACCACTGTGCTAAATCCCCGCCTCCCCCCTTTTTTAAAAAAATAAAAAACAACAGAAATTCTGGGAGGTAGAGAGGAAGCAGAAACCTTCAGTTTTCCCAGAGAGGATGCTCAAGAGGTTGAAGCTATAAAGGAATCAGATTTCAAAAGGCAGCAAACCAGGCTCAGTAGCCACTGTAGCAATTCATTCTATGGCTGAATTCCTAGACTGCATGTGTTTAGGGCCATGATTCTGGATACCTGCTGGAGCCCATTTGCCAAGAGGTTGAAACTTGAATAGACATATCTAGATTACACAGTTCTGAGATGTAGGAGTTTGGGTGCAACCAGAGCAGAAAGGCTTTGGCGAACCCCTTGCACATTTGGTTGAAATGTCCTGAAAGATACTCCCTAGATGTGAAAATGAAATCCGAAGAGAAAGGATAATCTCAAATAGACTTGTCCTCGTGAAACTAAAGCTGGGTCTTTGTGGGGTCAAGGTGATCCATTTATGACTTACCCACCTGCGGACCACAACTCAAAGTTCATGAGAGGAAGACAGCAGACTACAATCTCTTACAACTGCCACATGCATTCAAAGTTTATCGGATATGCAATGAAGCAGAAAAGAGTAACTGGTAACTCCTCACAATAAAATGCAGGGTGAAGAAATGGTCTAAATTTTGGAATTGGTAGGCAGGGGCATCTAAATAAACATGGGATTAATAAGTTATTTGAACTACCATAGAAGCAGGGAAAATGAAAGAAAAAATTAGAGCATTTCAGCATAATGTTAGAACCTATAGAAAAGAAGCAGTGGCTGGAGGTATAGCTCAGCTACTGAGCATTTACTTGCAGTCCTGGGACTGATCACTTCTCTAAAAAGAAAAATCAAATTTTGTTGGATTGATAAGTTAAGATGTAAGTAGATGAGTTTGGAAGATATTTTGATGAAGCAGAAAGTAAGACTAATAGTCTCAGATGAAAATCAATAGAAAATATATAGAATGCACAGAAAGAGGTGAGAGGACCAGACATAATATTTGAAGAAATAAAAGCCAGAATATTTTCATAGCTGGTGAAAGATATTAGCCAAGAAATTTAAGAAGCTCAATAAACCATAAACACAGAAAACCACAACTAGATGCATGAGGAATCAAATGGCTGAAAATGAAAAGATAAAATAGAAAAATTTTTAAAGAGGCAGAAAGGAGTAAAAGAAATATCACATGTTGAGCATAGTGGTGAAAAA